GAATTTGTTTTCAAAAATTGCATCAATTTGTGAGCAATGCCTCAAAGCGTGCACTGATTGGTGGTCACAGTTAGGCCACACCTCCACACAAACAGCGGTCAGTGTTTCAAACAAATGAACTCTAATTGTATGCATTGAATGACTGATTGACTGAACGATTGTGGCATCACTTCATTGATTGTCCACTCATTTGACAACCGATTCATAAAAAGTGACTTATTTTGAGCCATCACTTGAAGACATGAGTGAAAGCGATGTCCAAAACAATGGCACAAAACGATGCAAATTAGATGAAACACGTGTTGACTCGGACGTGACAGTGAAGACACAGCCATCGGACACGAGTTTAGATGCCTTTGAATTCGTAAGAGTTCTGAACCAAAGAAGTCAAACCAAATGGATAGCCATCGAAGCCAAGAGTGGGGACCAAAAGGCTGTCGTTCTGCTCGAGAAGATGGCATTCAATGAGTCGAACGCCAGACAAATACTCGAAGACAACTCGAGCGCTTCCAGTCTTCGCCTGGACTTCCAGAACGACATTTACAGCAATTATATGGCATTTCCAAGAAGTGATTTGAATGCCATTAAGACAACGATTATACATCCGGCCAGTGATCGACACATCCAGAAGTATTTGCATCAAGAGATTCGGGTGGTGTTGGAAACGCCGCGACTCTATGCAGAGGTGACGTACCCTCACATCCAACGACAGCAACTGTCACTGCAATGGGTCCACAATATATTGGATCACAAGTCAGAAACCGAGCGAATAGTGTGTGATATCGAGGACCCGGACATCGGATTCGTGTTATTGCCGGACATGAAATGGGATGGCATTCAGATCGAGACCTTGTATTTGGTGGCCATTTGTCGCACACAAGGCGTCAGATCTCTAAGAGATCTCAACGAAACACATCTACCGCTTCTCAACCACATTAAGACCACGAGCTGTGATGCCATTGAACGCAAATACGGTGTGACCAGAGATCAGCTCAGGATTTACATCCATTACCAGCCCTCTTACTATCACTTCCACATCCACTTCACTTCATTGGCGTTTGAAGACCCGGGAACTGTTGAGCGAATCCATCTGTTGGACGCTGTCATCAATAATATCACGCTTTGTAACGATTATTATCAAAAGTCTTCGCTTCTGTTTCCTCTCAAACAAAACGATCCACTCTTTAAGGCATTCACCGATAAATCTCTTGAAAATTAATGACTTTTGTGTCACTTTAATTGATCCCAAGTTTACATAATACCGTATTATTGCAATTATTTATTGATTATTACACGAATAGAAATCAAAATCTGATATAAAAATAATTTATTAATAAATAAAATTGTTGTAAATTCTGTTTAAAAGTTGATAATTGTTTGCATATCATATCAAATGACAGGACATCTGTTAAATCTAAGTGCCATCAGGTGTTCGGCACCCGCTTTACGCTCTAATACTACAGTCATCTGAAAGTTGATTGCTTTCATCTGATCACATATTTCTGAGATCTTATTCTCTTTGACAACAATCATATACAGCAAACCATTGTCACTGAGCAGTGATGGGACAGTAGGCAGGAACCGGTCGATCACTTGTCGCCCATCAACACCTCCAGCCCACGAACCACTTATATCACAGACGCCTACCTGTAGTTTCATATAATTAATACACAATTATATTACTATTTATCACTTAATTCAGACTTCTTGTGGAAGTGTTGGCACATATGGAGGATTGAACAGAAGTAGATCAATGCTATGAGACAATCGGCTTTCAATGGCTTGTGTCAGATCAGTGCGGACTAATTGAACGCATCCCTCGACACCATTAACTGATCCACACTTTCTTGTCGTCGATAATGCCTTTCCATTGAAGTCTGTGGCCCTATATATGCATTCAATCACTCAATTCATCACTTATTAGTTTATATGAGAAATGCCTACAAATATAAGCAATTGGTTGGACCCAAACACTTGGCCAGGGATGTGATGACAGCACCAGAACCACAGCCCACCTCAACGCACACCAATGGCCTATCGTTTCACCAGAAGTTGTCTTCAGTTAATGTCTTCAATGAATTGATTTGAAAGTAATGAAAGAAATACTTGATTTGTTGGATGAGTGGTAAGTCCTGTTGGATGGCATCCATCAACACAAATGTGTCCTCCGATGGCTCATAGACTGACTCAAAGTCATCGCTGAATACTTGTGTCGGAAATAAAGGGCTTTCCATTCAATCAACACTTTTATTAAATCTAATAAATCATAACAATTAAAGAAAATACAAAAATCAAACAAAAGTTTTTCAAGTGTTTCACATTCACGTCAATCGCATAACATAACAAGCATTCAATAATAATGTCTCATATGAATGGTTACAGTATTTCCTAAAACACCACAAATTGTATTGAATTTGTTTTTTGTAAACCATTTGTGGGCCAATCAAACGGATCGTAATTTATGGGCAAATTATTTCATTTGATAAAAATAAATAAACACATGGTGTTGACATTTGACAGTGAAATGAGCAAGTTGAAATAACTGACTTATTTACTTAATTTAGTAAAATATGTTGTTTTTAATGAAAGCAAACGTGTGGGCAATGAGTTGCCGTGTTTGTCATAAACCTAATAAACACTCATTGAATGAATTGTCTGCAAAACTCATGATAAGGTGTTTTCACTCTAAAAGTGACCCCAAATTGGTTTACGAGAAACAAAACCACAAATCTGTGACCAAATGTCTGGAGAACTCGTTTGGACTTCAGTTACAAGACATCGAAACTATTTATGAAAACTTTCCAACTGTTAAGACATTAGACGTAAAGGATTTGCAAAATATTTGTTCACTTCTTAAGGCAAAGGAGTTGTGTTTCGCTGAGACGGCCACCAAAAGGACCTGGATTTTCATGTGTCATAAACTATGGCTCACTTCAGGTCTAAAGCTTTTACAGAAATACCAATTAATGGATGATATAATAAATGGTAAATCGTATCATTTGGCGCTGTTTTTGACACCAAGAAGTCGTTTTGAGACACTCTGCAAACGAATCGCAAAACATAATCAACTGTTCAGTGATTATGACCGGAGATGTGATTACTTTTGCCGCGAATTACAGATAAATAGCGAAAAGTTTAGTTCAATTGTGGGAAGAAATCTTCAATTAATTCTCATAGACTTTGACAGAATTGAACAAATCATGCGATTATTGAAAGATAATTGTATTGCAAATGAAGATATTGTTAAAGACTTTTGGATATTCAACCATAACTTGGATGTAATGAGACAAAGGATACAAGAGTGCAATGAAAGTGATTATCCGATGAGAACGTGGGTTCTTCGCTGTCGTCCAGAGGTTTGGTACCCATTATTATACAGATATCAACAAAACAGAGAGATTTTGGACAAACACTCGGATAAAATAGATTTCTTGGCCAAGAAGTTGGCCTCCGATGACAATCAGATGAAAACTCTTATCTATAGATTTTCTCGTATTTTGACGATTAAACCCAAGAAATTGGATGAAAATATAACACTTTTATATGAATTGGGCTATAATTGCAATGACATCATCAACTGTCCCCGAGTTTTGAGTTACAGTTTCGATAGAATTTCCAAGCGTTTAGCACACCATTCAAGGAATCAAATGGACAAATTGGATTTGAATGTCATTTTATTAACAGAAAAGTCTTATCAAAAGTATCTCACAATACTGTCTAATGAATGCATTCCGCTGTAGTTTACATAACTGTTACTGATATTAAAATGGATATATTTTCTATAAAGCCATAAAACAATTGAAAAATTCTGTAAAAATTCTGTAAAAATTCTGTAAAATATATTAAAATAATAACTTATTTTTTAATTTGAGTCTTGACTTCAATTCCCTGCTCCTCAAGAGGTAGCCTTCGTTTGTATGAGTCATTGGATGACAAATAGTTGACACAAATGGCATAAAAAAGGAAAGCGATGGCAATAATGTTGGCCAGTAGTGCCTCTTTAGGTAACTGCCAGTACTCGACGGTCTCCCTCTTAATAACAGTCAAGATATCTGTCGATTGGTTGGTCTGATGGATGGGTGCCAACCCCTCTAAGTCGGCGCCAGTTATGCGTAATTTGTCTGAAATGCCGATAATAGCTGTGCCGCAGATCACTGTAAACACAAGTCGTCCGAAGAAGTGGTGAAACGGAACGAAGAGGATCTGAACCTCGTATACAAACCGCGGGAATAAGAATACGGTTAGACCTGAAGTCCACTGCAATATCAACAATAGGATAGCCATGAGTCCGACCCACGAGTGCACTGAATATAAGTGAACACATCCTAAGGCATTGAGTGACGCGAAGACCGCGTAAATGCCGATCACGAAGAATATGAGACTCAAGACAGTGAGCGTTGTGTGCAGACAGTTGAGGGCACCCGACGATAAGCCACGGAATATGCGGTGCGTCAGCATTCCTGTCCGTTCAGTGCAATTAGACATACACTCAGTATTTGTTGCAATTATGACCAGTCATTACAGACCTAATCCAAAGCCACAAACTCCTAAAGACATGAAGAATACGTGAGTATTGAAGTGAGTCCTGTCTGCCAAAGACCAGTCGATTCCATCCAAATAGTTGTATATCCAGTGAGTGGTTCCACTCATTATCAATACTGACCAACAGATTACCATTCATTAGACTAACACTCATATGAATACAACAAATGGCATGAAAGTAGAGATCATTACTGTTGAGCACAAGGATGACGATCACAATGACTAAGAAGCGGATGCTCTCGAAGGAACTCATCTCAATGTCTTCGGCATTAATCTGGATGTCGTCTTCGTTGACAATCCTGACGCGCATCGGAGGCAAACCGTCGGCCACTGACTCCATGTCTTCACAACACATATCATTACATATGAAGGCATTGAATGTGTATTGCATTCAAAGCATACCAGAGATGATCCCAATGGCCGTCCATTTGTCCGTTTCCTTGTCATCGCTTCCAATAGCCGTCTCTTTGTCTCTCTTGTCATTCCTCGACTCATCTTTGATCGATATAACCATCTCTTGTGCGGAAGACTTAGTGGTCAAGTGTTGGGTCGGGATATCGTGTCCAACAGACTTGTCTTTGACATAGCCGTCTCTTTGTCTCTCTTGTCATTCCTCGACTCATCTTTGATCGATATAACCATCTCTTGTGCGGAAGACTTAGTGGTCAAGTGTTGGGTCGGGATATCGTGTCCAACAGACTTGTCTTTGACAACCATTTCATCGACAAAGTGGTCGTTGGCGTCAAAGTACTCATCCGAGTCTTGTGACACTGATTTCGTTTTAGACATATTGTGGCGGTTGTGGTGACAGTGTGTGTGTTGTGGACCAGATGTGGTGATACTTTGGACACTTGACACAAATCGGTGCCAATTGTCACTCAATGGGAATCACTTCGAAATGAGCGCTCATTTGATGTCAAAGTATAGACCAATGAGTGAAGGCTTCGACACATTCATACATTACGTGCTGTTGATTGAGCTTAGAATGCATTGAATTGAATGCATTGAGCATTGATTGGTTGGACGTAATTAATGGAGTGTTTGTGAACCGAATGTTTGTGTCATTGAATACGTATTGAATTGATTTGACTTCAGATGTGATTTGAATTGAGGTTTGCTTTGCATTGGAGTCCATCTGACAGTACATGTGTTGACACTTCACCACCACTTGGGATCAATTGACACACAAATGACTTTAGGGCTCAATAAAAGCCATTTCTTCAGTGTCTATAACAGTAAGAATGAGCCGAAAAAGAGACGATTAGATGAAGTAATGAATGGCTTGAGTG